TGGCACAGCCCGACAAGCGGTGCATCAGTAAGCGCGTGGGATCCAAACCCGGGCCGCCAGCAGTGGAGCGCGCACCACTACGCCACGGGGCCGGCCCCAGCTGATGCTTTTTAATACTCTGAGAACTGGAAAAAAATTTAAAGATAAAAACTTTAATCCTATTCAGAGAAAAAACCCACAAACTTTGGCATAACTAACTTTAATGTCACCCAATAAAATTTTAGATGTTTCAGGATATTCTTAAGGCAGTACCCATGATTATTCCCCAAAATACTATCTTTAGGGACCAAGGACCAGGCACTTTAAGGTTAGACTTAAGGGTGGGGTATCATCTCCATTTTACAAAGGAATTAGTTGAAAGCGGTTCTTAATCTGGGTATAATTTAGGTCAGAGAATTTTGATTGGGAGAAAGTTACTTCCTTCTTTTCTTTATTTTCATTAACAATCAATCAAATTTAACATTTCCTTCAAACCACAATTGTATTCACAGAACTTGTGACTTTCATTAGTTAAAATTGCAACTTGAATATCAGATTATTGTTGCCAAGTATCTCAAAATACCATTCATGCATCACAACTTCAAAGGTGGAAGTCAGACCCACCGCTAGCCTCATTTAATATTTAAAGCACCTACTACTAAATCAAACTTACTTTGATGACTATTTTCAATGTAATGTTTAATTCTACATATTTAAAGCATATGAAATCAACATCCTGAAGGGTCTGTTGGCATCACCAAGCTGCCAAAGGGGAGCATGCCATAAAAAGTTTAAAAACCACAAATAACTTGCCCAAGCTCACAAAACTACCTAAGTTCTATATTTAAATTTTTTACCAACAGGCAAAACCTCATATATAACAATCAAAACAAAAACCTCTTCACATTTTCTTCCAGCACCTATTAAATAAGGGTGTAAGAGTGGAAGACAATCGAGACTAAATTCAAACAACCTATCAGAGTTCTTTGGATGTAAGCACGTATTTTAAAGGCAGTTTACTTAACATTTCTGTTGACAGAAATGCACGGACTAATACATGTGAAAAAATGAAAACTACCTTTATTGTAACTTTCAGATATAACTGGTTAACATTTTTATTTGTCTTTTTGAGGAAGATTAGCTCTGAGCTAACATCTGTTGCCAATCCCTTTTGCAGAGGAAGATTGGCTCTAGGCTAACCTCCATGCCCATCATCCTCTACTTTATATGGGATGCCGCCACAGCACGGCTTGTTGAGCAGGGCGTGGGCCGCGCCAGGATCTGAACCTGTGAACCCCGAGCCGCCTAAGCAGAGTGTGCACCGGGCAGTCCCAGCTAGTTAAGATTTAATAGAATTTTCTCACCTTTGTGATTATAAGCCCTTTATTAATTATAATGGCCATTTACATGGATGTAGTGAAATGTACCCATTTCCTATCCTTTAAAGTATTTTAAAGCTGTCAAGACCCTTGTACTTAACATTACTTATCAATAAATTTTAGAAGTTGAGTAGTATGGTAAAGTCGAGTAGTATAGTAAATAGTAAATTCCTATTTCTTTGCTGGCTTTCAGTACTGTGCTCATTTAACCTCTATCACACAATGCACAATGCAATGTACCTTTGCCATTACCTGTCTCTGAAAATGCGATAAGCAAAAATGGCATATTTTACCTATTGCTTTACTCTCCCTCACCCCTTGGTACTTTCTATTCAATTCTAAGTCAACCTGATGTATTAATAGGTTCTCATTTTTTGCAAAAGTGAACAGCAATTTTCGAAAAATTTAATTGCAGTTACTACGTGGATGGTTCTGATTTTATCTTATTGCCTGAATATTTTATTTAACAATGTATTTTCATTCTGAAAAAGATAAATATACTTATTTTTGGTAGAAATGAAGCCTACACTTGTCCTGAGTTATTTTGGGATTTAAGTATTAAACTGCAACTATAAGGTATTATAGGTGCAGAGAATATGAACTATGGCACATACCATGAAACCAGTGTTAAACTGAATACAAGCAAAATGTGTCAATTCTGTGAGCTAAAAATCCTCATAGCTTCAATTCACAAAGCATTTCACTTAACATGTTAACAGCTATTAATAAAAACCCAAATACTTGTGCTATAAAAATAAACTAAAAAATTACCAAAAAACTACCTCAAAAATTTATGAACTTAGCAGATGACTATTATCACCTTTACTTGGGTTAGATTGTAGCAGTGTAGTTTAAGAGTACTTAACTTCAAGAAATCTTTTTCCAACCCACCCTCACACCACAAAATGCTCAATCTATTGCCTTTCTCAAGATTAAGAAACCCAATGTTTCCCCATTTCACCTTTCTACCAAATTGTCCCCCCCCCGCCTCCAAAATTTCATTGATTCCTCACCTATTACCCAAGTATCTCATGTATTGTCCTTCAAGACTTAAGTCCTTAAGTGATGAGCTTTCTGTTTTATTTTCCATGCCTATTTCCCAAGTCATCCATGTTTCCCATTGAATAGAATCCACCATCTTTTAAATTAACTGATATGTAAAGGTTCATTCCAAGTTTCCTGTTAATTACCTACTAATAACGTTATGTCATATTCACCTATAGCATTTAAGTCACATGAACATTGTGAAGTGACAAAACACACGCATTTCTAAAAATATTTTAATGAAAAAGTTCTTTCTGTAAACATTTCATTATACTACAAATGAAACATTTGAATCCATTACAGACCACCTCTTATCTTAAAAATCAGAATAAAACATACCGAAATTTAGAATTTTGTTTATATAGGTTAACAATCCTTACATTTACCCCTGCACATTAGCATGCTTATTCACTACTTTGTGACATTACTGAAACTCCAAGAGATACTGTTGTTAATTAGAAATGTTTCAAATCGTGACTTACATACCGGAACTCTTAAAAACAAGCCTATTTCAGTTCAGTTCCTTAACAAATGGTCTTTATTACCAAATTTCCTCTTTAGGACATAAGTGTAATCGAGCTTTTTTATTTTTGAAGAAATGTAGTGTGGGAAGCAGTAACCGATGAGCTGGTTTGACAATATCAGTTAAAGAGTTTTCCTCAACCATTTCCCCCTTACATAATTTATTTTGTTTACGGGTGCTATGACTTAAGAGCATCATATTTTTCAGAAATGACAGTGGAACTACATTTAAAATAAAATCACTTTATTTCATAAAGAAATGAGATGGACTGGAAAGAAAGAACAATGCCTTTAAAAAAAGAAAATGTTTCCTATCTTAGGAAATTTGCTTCACTAAAACCACCTTGTAAAGAAAATTTATTAAAAGGCTATATTACCTTATCACTTCACTCTATGGTGATGTATAGAAATTCAACCCTGATTTAGACACAGAAACAGAGAGCCAACCAGTCATTTTCTGACAATAAGCTCTGGCAAACTAACTACTCCTGTCTATTTGGGAACTTGATTTATTTATAAATTTTAGTTTTATTTTAAGCATCTGTCCCCCAAGTGTTATTTTTTTAAAAAGTGAATAGACATCAATTCTCAATTTTTGACAAGCCCTTCAGGGGCAGCAATAATAGCCCTTATGAACAATCAGCAACTGATTTCAACAGTAATTGAGTAATATTTTAAGTATTCTTTGGGAAAAGTTGTCTTTTGAAAAGGAGTATTAGCATTAATTAGGCCCCTACTGCTTCTTGGTTAACAGGTTGTACACAAAAAACCTAAAGAAAGAACCAAAAATTTAACCTATTAGTCCAAATAATTTCCTAAATTTATATGCAAGAGAACTTATATATGAGGCCACTTGAATGAAGACCATGTTTTATATCTGTATCATCTGACAGTTTTGAAAGTTCACTCTAAGGTGTTTTTCCTAGAATGAGGATTGGCAGCTTAATGCTTTTATTATAAGTCATGCTTATTACAAAAACTCTCCACAAAATTTTAGGTTACTCTTACTTTCTCTTATGAAAAATCAACTTTACCCTAAAGACACCAACAATGAATTGTATACATGGGGCTACGTCTGACTCGAGATGAACACTCATCGTTATTGCAGGGAAATTTTAAAAATTGCTTAAAAATGTGTTGGATGTGGTTCCAGGATAGTTTTCAGCTGAACAATTTTGCCAATGTACCTAATAGTTTTAAAATATGTAATATAAATTTGTAGGGAAACAAATGGTGTCATCAGGTTTTACTGTGAGCTACAAACCTTACCCAGCCAGAAACCTTCGTATTTAAGATGGTAGGAAAGACATTCCTCTTTTAGGCAAGTAGGGTTCTCATTCAACCTGCAAATCAAAAAGATTACTCTTACCTTGCTTTACAAAAAATTACTCTTTAATTAGTGAAAAAATTCAAATGCAAGCCTTACCTAATGCTTATTGATTGCCCTTCCTTGCAGGTCTAAATGCTAGACCTAGTGACTGTGGCAACTATCTCTCATTGATGTTCCAAAAGGCGAAGAGCTCCTTCCTGCTAGACTTTCTTCGATATTTCAGTTGTAATAAGCAGATTTAACTAGCTTTTGGAAAGCTGCTCACTATCACCATAGTATCTTATGCCTTCACTTCTCTGTAGTTGAAGCTCTTGCTGCTGCCTTGTCATTCTTTATTTATGCTGACTTGTCCATACTCAAAAGGCTGCTGAAGTCCTGTCTTAGTGAGTCTCCTTTGATCCACTGTGCTTAAAAAGCACATCTTAGGTCCTTTAAAGCTGGTTAAATCGCTCTCCTCATGGCTTACTTTTCCACACTGTTCACAAGAACTAAGCTAATACAACTTATAAACAGGTCACATACACAGTTTTCACCTGCTTATAGGTTGCAAACATCAACTTACTGAAAATATTTTCACTATTAAACTAATTCCAGAACACAGAAAGTTTGTTAACAGTACAATTAACCTCATATGCCATTAAAGGATACTGTCAAGGTTGTGTCAAACAATTGCACAAACATAGAAACAGGAAATGTTAATCTCCCCCATTCCTTTAACCTTTATTATACGAATAAAAGAACCTGCGACAATTGAGCTCAATTTTAATGTTTCCCAAGCATTATTTTGACCAGGTACCCAGGTTTAAATTATGAACATTGACAGTGTCCATTTATATAACCACACTTGAAGTTGTTAAAGACTTAACCATTTTCTAATATTAGCCTATTTTCTATGCTGCTTATTCACATATGTCCATTAACAAATGGAATGTTGTCTGTTACATTTGTTGTTTTGTGAGTGTTTTCTGGAAAACTGCAGTATCTGTGAAGACCGATTTCCATGCTGGCATTGCATGCATCCAAATATTAATAATGCACAGAGGCACAGAATTAGAGCAACAAGAGAGCATATTCAAACACTAGCACGCCCCATTCCCCTTTTTATTGCTTGTTTTGCTTAGTACTTCTTAAAACAAAAATAAGAATCTCAAATCCAACGTTCAACTGCCAAAGAAAGAGTAACAGCAGGGCACATACTTAGGGCTCCAATGAAATTGTAAGCACTAGCTGGCGCAAAACAGTAGACATTGGTTTTTGTATATATGACCTTATTATCTAAAAACTCTTCTCAACCAGGGTCTTCCAAGCAAATTGCTAATTCATACCAACATGATTTAGGTTCAAGCATAAACATTCAATGACAAGTGTGTTCTCTGGGATTTTGAGTAAGAACTCAAGACCATCCAAATTGGAATACCGGTTTTTGGGAAGTGAGAAGCTTGTACTAAGCAATTGTGCTACACTTCTACTGCAGTAAGTCATTTGGGATGATTGTATCTAGACTATTCTTGGTTTCATCCAGTAAAATGTAAAGGGTACAAACAGTAAAGCATGCCAGCCAGTTAAGGGTTCAACAATGCATGATTTTTATTCTCTTGCTCTGAAAGCCTGTATCAAAAAAAATATATATGTATATTAAACCAAGGAAAATAACTGAAGATTTATGGGCCTCTTGTGCTTTAAAAAGGAAAAACAAAGGTAGCCACTAATTTGCTCAGATACAGCAAGGCTTAGTGGTCCTGTACTTTGAAAACTTTTTAAGAATGGTTTTTAAGGTAGGAGGAAAGGGAAAACATCCACTACCCCTTTCCAGAACTTAAACAGAGGGCAGTAGACATTCTTTACACCCAAATAAAACTATGGCAGCAGTTCACATGTGACCAAGGTGAATGCAGAATGGAGATGTTCTAAACACAGCTAGGACTCGGCAAAGCTAACACACTAGAATCATGTGATTACATTTTGAAAGAAAATGCACAAAAACCAAATAGGAATTTTGAGATTTTTCATTTGAAGGTAAATCTTAATGCTATTAAATTCACAAATATGCTAATTTAAATACCCAATTCTATTTATCTAAAACACACATTGCAAACATACAAATATCTATTCTCTCCACATGTCAGAACCCATTCATTTCATGGTTTGGAAATGGGGAGAATAGATTCCCCTTAAACTGCAAGTCAGCAGGTGTTTCTTTACAGTTAACTTTAGCAAAATTCATACAAAATAGTAATTAACAATGATCTTCTTTACTTGTTAACTCACAAGGAAACACCTTCAAAACTGCATTTTGTTAAAGTTTCTGTACTAAAATGTAGAAAAACTGAACTACACAAATATTGAAAAGTTAAAAATTCCTTAATTTTTTATTCCTGGTACCACTACCACAATTTACAGGGCAATATACCTGATGTAATGAAAAGAAAAAGAAAAAGACAAAGCTACAACAGATAAAAGACCTCAGGAATGTACATCTAATTGACACTACATTGCATTAATCAATAGCTGCACTTTTTGCAAACTGTGGCTATGACAGTCCTGAACAAGAAGGGTTTCCTGTTTAAGCTGCAGTAACTTTTCTGACTATGGATCATCGTTCCTTCTGTGGCAGATTTTTACAGTTCCTCTAATGCATTTGGGACGACTGTCTCAAAGTAACCTGCAGCTTTCCTGACAACTCCTCGCTCTCTCTCCTGCTAAGAACTGTAGCCTGTTGAATAATACAGGATAAAAAAATTATTACACTCAGTGAACAGTTCCACATATTCTTTATCATCATGATAAAAATTTAAAGATACCTACCCTTTTCTGTTGAGTTTTTAGAACCTTCTGCTACCATATCCACCACTTCCACCACCAGATCCATAACCACCTGGAAATATATATGTAGAGTTTTAAAAGAAAGATACATGAATTTTTAAATTAAAAAGGCTGTTAAGAATTTTGATGAAAAAAACTACTTACCACCATAGGGACTGCCAGAGCTTCTTCCACCAAAACTGCCCCCCTTCATGGGTCCATAATTTGATTGCTGTTGTCCACTATAATTTCCAAAATCATTATAGTTCCCACCACCATAGTTACCTGAAATTACAAAGGTTTTATTCGTGGTTGACCTACACAATAATTTTTTCCTCTTTTAACAAATGTACCTATGATCTTTTGACAATCACGGCAGCATGCTCTATGACACTTACACCCTTTGAAGAGATTTTACAGAGCTACCACACTCTCTACACAAACACAGAGGCCCACTAGCAGACTTCGGGCATAGGGAGGAAGGAGAAAACAGTGGATGATGGCCCAAAGAGCATGCACCTAGATAGCTGCCATATTTTTATATTAGATGCACCCTAGCATATTTTTCTCCTTTATACCATTAACACCTCAAAACCATGTTTCATTCACTCTAATTCTGATGCAGTACAACCTTTAAACCAATGACAGAAAAGGTATTCTAAATTAAGAAAAACCTTCTGTTGATACATTAATACAGTCCAACAAAACTCACTGTGTTCATAACAAAGCTCTTTATCTATAGTATTACAGAGTAAAGACACAGACTTCCTTATAGTCTGCATGTACCTCTCACATAATAGGACTCAAAGAACCTTTGTCACCTAGACCCCAAAAGACACAATTCATTTCAAAATGTCTCCATATTCAATTTACAGTTCCCATTTGTCCAATTTATAAGTGTCTAAAGTTCAGTAAAATTCTGGCAATAAATACATTACTTACCAATGTCCATTTCAACTACACAAAAAAGTTGAATATGTTTTACCAATTTACGAAATAGGTAACCAAGGTAAGAAAATTCAGTTAACTACCCGCCATCTGAGTATTTTCTAGTATTACAAAACATGAAATTTGACCAAAAGCTACCTTTTAACACTTTTTAAAACATCTGTAACAGAACTATATATAAATAACATTAAATATTTAAAATAAGCGAAAACTTACCACCGCCAAAATTTCCTCCTTCATTGTAGCCATCATATCCTCCACCACCGCCACCATATCCACCACCACCCTGGTTTCCATATCCTGGTCCACCACCACCACCATAGCCTCCTCTACTACTATAACCAGGACCACCGCCATAGCTGCCACCTAAAAAAATCAGGTCACACAAAAACATAAACGTAGAAAGAGGATCAAGTTATTGAACTCTAGTTTATATTACATTTAACCCACTGGAAAATAAACCAATGAGTTGATTTAACTCTAAAGCCTGGTAATACCTGGTCAATTGAACAGCAAGAATCTGGGCAGGTAAGAATTAAGATGAATGCCTAAATATCTCTTTGATATATATAAAAAATGTTTTAATTTTTAAAAATGTCACTAAGGAAAACAGTGAACAGTTTCCTCTGAGACATAAACAATTCCAGCTCGACTGCTAGTACAATAAATCTTATTAGCCAAAATGAACTAGCTAATGTTAAATTTTTAGGGGGGGGGAAGTCTAGTCTCCTATGGTATTAGTTTAGAAGCATACTTTACCATCAAGCCATGCAAATGTTGACTGAACATACATAAATGTAAACAAATACTTAATTTTCATTGAAGTATAGAAACAAAGTAAAAATATCAAACATCACATTCAAAAAACTTACCATCACCTCCAAATCCATTATATCCACCATCACCTCCTCCATAACTACCTCTGCTGCCACCACCTCCACCATAGCCTCCTGAGGAAAAGCAACGGAAAAATTACAAGTGTAGATTTAACTCACTAATAAATTTTAGGTAGATATGTACTTAGAAATAAAATAACCACCCTACCTCTTCCACCAAAGTTTCCACCACGGCCAAAGTTACCTCCACCACCTCCAAAGTTTCCTCCACGACCCATAAAGTTGCCAGATCCACCTCCACGACCTTTAACACAGGCAAGGAAAATCTGTGAGAACCTGACAAACTCTACCTCCACCTACTGTGTATGTGTATATGCTATTACTCACCTCTTTGCGATCCAGCCGACTGCATTTCTTGTTTAGAAAGGGCCTTTTTCACTTCACAATTATGCCCATTAATAGTGTGGTATTTCTGAACTAAATTATTTTTAATCAAACAAACAAACAAAAGTTATTTGATGTTTGAAAAGCACATATAAATGATATCTTTTATCACAACATCACTCATTAAAATATCATTAAGAAGGGAGTGACTTTGAGTGGGGATGAGGGAGCGATCTGGGATGTTAATAACGTTTATTTCTTGATCCGGATGCTGGTTACACAGGTGTAGTCACGTTATGAAAACTGAACCACACATTATATACTATTATGCATGATATAAAATTATAAGCATTTGACCAAATCTAGTGTAGAACAAGAAGCCATTTCTGCTTTCTCATTCAAGTTCCAATAAACTGCTACTTACCAACAATTTTATCAACTGTATCATGATCATCAAAAGTTACAAAAGCAAATCCTCTCTTTTTTCCACTCTGCCTGTCTTCCATAACTTCTATGGTTTCAATCTTGCCATACTTTTCAAAGTAGTCTCTCAAATTATATTCTTCTGTATCTTCTTTAATACCACCCACAAAAATTTTCTTCACTGTTAGATGGGCACCAGGCTTTACAGAATCCTGCAAATAAAAATTTCCTAAGTCAAAAAACCCAAATTTTTACAACAATTTCATGTTACACAACATGGTATTAATAAGATACCTCTCTAGAAACAGCTCTCTTTGGTTCTACTACACGCCCATCAACCTTGTGTGGTCGAGCACACATTGCTGCATCCACCTCTTCAACACAAGAGTAAGTCACAAAACCAAAGCCCCTGGAACGTTTTGTTTGGGGGTCTCTCATTACCTACAAAATAAAAATTTAAAAACACTGAAACACACCTCCAAAGCTCCTCTACCCTTTAAGAATCTCTTTTTGCTCCTTTAGTAACTTACCACACAATCTGTAAGGGTGCCCCATTTCTCAAAATGTTCTCTTAAACTATCATCTGTAGTTTCAAAGCTCAGACCACCAATAAACAGTTTTCTCAACTGCTCTGGTTCCTTTGGATCATGGCCCTAAGGAAACAAACCAATACATTTTAATTATTTCTTTTACTAGGTGAATTGCTAAAAAAGATTCGCAAGCCTTTAATCTGCTACAAATAGTAACTCAATATCAAATTCCTGTACCATTAACACTTTGTCCAGTTAAAAATTGCAGTAAGATCACACACATCAACTGATTACAGGAAGCAAAAGACCAAGAAAACCTATTACCAGCCTTTCAAACGACAACATCACTTCAACTAAACTGAAGTCCAACAGAATTCCAGAATCAAAAGCCCCTTAATTTAAAGCTACAACTACAAGAGTGTGGGATACATTATTTCAGAAATTGCTACTGAGAAACCATTTTCTAAGAATGACCAAAGTGTTGTAAAGCAGTGTTTCACCCATGCCATTTCTTTTCATGTTTTCCCTCCTCAGTCTACATCCCCACAAGTTTTAATTTTAAACCACAAAACTGTGAAGTACAACTTAAAAATTTTGAGTGACAAATTTAGAGAAAGTCACTGGCTCAGGCAAATCAAAATGTTAAGACAGGTATTCCTCAATAAAAGGCTAAACCAGCATTTACCCTCAAAAAAACCTATGGAAAAATCCAGCACGTATCTTGACAGCTTTCTGTAACCAATTTATGTTATAGGTTACATGCTGCAAATTACCTATTTACACTGGTATCAAATGGCAAAACTTCAAATATAATATTTCATAAGGCAGAAAAAGGGCAACGTGGACTTTATAGCATATACTGCTTGACCAGAATGGAGCACAATAGAACAGAATTGAGATTTTTCTTAAAAATTAAGATGCGGCCTGAATTCTTTTACAACTACCTGTTTAAGAAATTACATAAACTGCCATTTAATGCATGCATTAAAATATCGTTCATCCAAAGTCCTTAAATGAAAGAGCTCACATTTACATTCTAATGTCTTCCTGTGTCTTCTAAAAGTAGACTTAAGTCATTTAACATGAAGAGGCTGTCACGCGCTAGAAAAAAAGTTAAATGATTATAATAGCCTAAAGCATTAATTCACTTTGTCTCATTTTCTCGTCTAGGTTAAATGCGTTTAATTGACAATATACAAAGTTCACAAAAACAATTATAATCCACTTAAAATTACCTCACATGAAAAATTCAACTGTGGTTGCAGTCCTCTAAAACAAAAATCCAAGAAACTACAACCAGAGCCGACCCATCATGAGAAATGAGAAAAACGGAGATCAAAAAAATTTCAAGTTCCTATTTTACATCTACACTCAAGTTCTGAGATAGAGTACTTCACCCACATGGCGCGAAGATAGGTATAATTCTAAGTACTTTAGCAACAATAGCAGATCAGGAAGCATTTTTAAGCAGCAAACTTTTTAAAAAATTCATATTTCCAACTGGGTGCTGCGAAGAAAAGAACAGGACAGAGAATTAAATTCTCGTTGCCTTAGAGAGATCTGTAAGGCCTAGAAACGCGCCGGCAGAACTTCAGCGAAAGCATAACGCCCGAGCTTCGAGGCCATTTGCGGCATTTTTTGCCGGGCTGCCTCCTCTCTCTTCCTTGCAATCCCGCGCTCTTTCCCGGCGGCGGAGCGAGGCGGCGGCCATTGCGGGCCAATGCGCCATTTCGTAACGCGGCAGCGGATCAATGTCAATGTGGCCGCCGCCCGCCTGCTCGCTCGCCCGGATGTGCCTGCTCGTCCCCTCCCCTCCCCCACCGCCTCCTCCCAACCGCTCCCGCCGAGGCCCGCCATGCCGCCCTCGGCCCCGGATGCGAGGCCGCGCGGCCGGCGGCCCGGCTCGCCTCCCGAGGGCTCCCCAGCCACGCCGCGCCTCCGAGGAGCCACCTGTGCAGCCGAAGAAGGCGGCGAGGCGGGCGAGGGGCCCCGAAGAGGCCTCCGAGGCCCGCTCCCCTCCCCCTCCCACCGCCCGTCTCAGCGCAGAGCGCGGGACGGCCGACCCGGTCCACCCGGCCTCCCCGCTCCCACCGAGCCAGGCCCCCCACGCCGGCCACTACCCGTCAACCCCCCGCTCTCCCCCTAATACCTCCTCCCCCCGGCGGCGGCGGCGACGGCCGGAGTCGGGCTGGGGGCGACCGGGCGGCGGTTTTACCTCCATTTTGAGACCGGACTCGCCTCTTCCAACTCGAGTTCAATATGGGACCGAGAGGAAGAGGCGGGGCCAGCAGTCACGTGACGCGCTTTCTGCGCGCCGCCGGCCCGGTGGGGGAGGGGCGAGTTGGAAAGTGGGCGTAGCCAACTGGGCGCGAAGAAGGACTGGACGAGCGGGTTGGCGGGCGGAGGGCGGGGGCGTGGCGGGTCGCGGGAGCGCGCGCGCCTCGCCAACTTCCAGCGCGGCGCCGCCCTTGCCGCGGTTCGCGCTCGGGCGGCTGCGGGGACGTCAGCTCGGGCTCAACCAATGGCGAGCGCCCACGTCGGGAGGGCGCCTCGTGACCGCGCGTCACCGGAGAAAAAGGCCTTTCCCTTTCTTCTCGCGCGTTTTTCCCCCTCCCCCACGTAGGCCCCTGGGTCTCCGTTTCCGATTTCATTTCATTCTCGTGTCTGAATAAAACCACACTTCTTTTCTCCTGTACTACTTTAAGGTTACAAGAAAGCCCTCTCGCGGCGTCTTCTCTCACGTTTCCAAATGCCAGGGACCAAGTTTTGTGACTGCGATGCCCACTGTGAGGGCCTGCACTGAAAAGCCTTGGCGACGCCGACGTATATGAATCTTGGGCACCTTGGAAAAGCCTTAAAACGCGGCTGACATACTGAAATTTCACCTTTAACGAGCTGAGGCAGGACTGATCGAGGTCAGTTCATTAGGGACTCATTGATCTCAAGAAATCTGTCGGCACCATTTTCTTTTCTGGTTAGTGTGGAAAGAGCTGAAGCAAATGTTTGCACGGACGGATGTTAAGGAAAGGTTTACAAGGTTTCCAAAAGTAGGATCACCACATATGCTATCTATTCGCCAGTGATTTTTACCTTAATTTTCCAGTTGTGTTGTGAAGTGTAATGAACGAGCTCAATTAAAGAGTTAAAAACTAGAGCTCTAATCCTTTCTCGGCCTAGCCAAGTGATTTTAAATCATTTGACCCTTACTGAGTTTTAGTTTTAATTTTTTTAATAAAAATGGGGATGAGATTAGGTGATCCCCAACACTTATTGTAGTCTTAAATTAATGGATCCATGTTTAAACAAAAGTTCTGGTGAAAGTGACGGCAATTGACAAGTCTCCTTATCCTGCTAAGAAATGCCCTGTATTTTAGTGTAGCAATGCATATGAGCAGCTCCTTTAGAATTGATCAGGCCCTCCCTTGGAAGATTAGAAATCTAGTCAATTATAGTGTAAATTGTTTGAAAAACAGTTTGTGTTAATAAATGGGGAATGGTCGGCTTGGAGTTTGGAAAAAGGAAACACAAAGAATAAGAATTTGTTGATGTTTATCAAGCATTGGCCAAGAGGAACAGGTGTTTTATTTGGGAGACATAAACAGAAGGTACTCTGCTCCAGGATAGAAACCAGTCACCAGGCCTTAATGTAACTTGGATGAGATAATCTTCCAAACTAGCCGCCTCCTGTTGCTCTGATTCCATTATCACAAGCAAACTATTATGTGTTCTGCTTATAAGGTACTCCTCATAGCCAACAACAGTGCTTGAGACAATGGGAAAATTTATATTCTTAGTGTCTCATTAATATATCAAGGCTTTGTGAGTTTGATTGCTATGAAATAGTCGTGAATAACTTGATCAATTCTGGGTATGTACAAAAACACAAAGTTAAAGACCTTAGGAAGATGGTATTCTCAGCAAGGTACCCTATGAGACACTGCAAGGTTCATCCAAAAGGCTGATCGCTTGGCTTCACTTTAGGGCATGTTTGTCTGGGTATTTTCTAACCAAGTTGTTTCTAATCAATAACTTCTGTTATTATTCTTTCTTCTTTGAATTGTATTAAATTCTTGTGTTGGAGGAATGATGAGGGATGGGATACTAAGTCTTCCATACAGGAAGGTGGTCTGTCAGTCCATTTATTCAGGTATTTTGTCCTTCAGTAAAATGTGGATTCTTCCCTTTGGATTCGTCCAGACTTGTTGTTCATCCGGCCTCTGGGTTTTAGACATTAGCTATTTTTTATGCTTTTGTCTAAGCTTACCCTCCAGCTCTGGGGCCACATGGTATCTAATACAAATATCCCTGCTCAAGATCTTTACCCTATTGGTCAGAGTTGAACCTTGGCTGCTATCTGTCTTTGTGGCCCTGGCTGTCTTTGAAATGTGAGAGAGAGAGAGAGTGTATGGGGTGGGGAGCAGAGGACAAGGGTCCTAGGGTGGGATGGGGTGGCAGACAGACTTTATAAATAATCTATATCAGCGCCTCTCAACTTCTTTCATATCACAACACATACAGAAAATAAGTTTTATATAGCACACTAGGTTACAAAAACGAAGAGATTTGGAGGCATCTAAATGATGGTTGGTAAAAAAATAAAATACAACGTACTAGAGAAGATATTAAAAATTGAATTTGGGGGCCGGCCTTGTGGCATAGCAGTTAAGTTTTCGTGTTCTGCTTTGGCGGCCCGGGGTTTGCCGGTTCGGATCCTGGATGCGGACCTACTCACCACTCATCAAGCCATGCTGAGGCAGCATCCCACATAGAAGAACTAGAAGGACCTACAACTAGGATATACAACTATGTACTGGGGCTTTAGGGAGAAGAAAGGAAAAACAAGAGGAAGATTGGCGACAGATGTTAGCTCAGGGCCAATTTTCCTCAAAAAAAAAAAAAAGGAACTGCTATGTATTTTAAAAAAATTGAATTTGAATAAAACTTTCAAGTAAAATTTTTCCATCATTTTTAATGATCGACTTGATCTTGTTTCTGTGAGTATATTTTGATATTAGGTTTTATGGTTTAAATGGCTTTATGCAGTTTCTGATCTAGACTTTTTAATGACAAACTCATATTCTGAATAGTAATTATCAGTGAGGGACTCTGATCACAAAAGTGGGTGATAAAATATTTAAAACCATTTTATACAACTATTCAAAATTTACAGTGGTAATTATATTTAAAGAATAACAACTCTTCCTTTTCTTTTATTGACTAATGTAATGTTGCAGTTTCATATGATAATGCAAATGGATTTCAAACCCAGTAGTACATTTTTATATCAAGATTTCCACATTGAAACTCTAGCTTTCAGAATGTGCATGCATTGTCAATAGCTAGTCTGGGGGCCATTAAAAGAGTGCATCACCACAAAGGGATAGAAATAGCCACTATATGTTAAGACACATATTAAGGGCATTGCCTGGAGCTGAGCCCACCAGGAACCCCGCTCTACTCAGGCTCCTCTCTCACACCCCTGGCAGACTACCTCTGGGGCTGTGTGCTATGCCCCTTGGGTACCTGGATCACAAACTTGTGCATTGGCTTCAGAGACTCTGATTCATGGTGGGCAGTGGAGTGCTTTGCAGATAGATGCCCATGTGGCAGGCATCCTTGGCCATCCACAGACAGGAGAACTGTAAGTGCTGGTTGTTGTCCACTGTGCTTGCTGCATCTTTGGCATAAGCCCCAGACTGCTCTGCACAGGCTGCCCTGAGGAGCCCTAAACAAGCCTGCTTATGGCCGGAGGTACTGGCCCAGGAGGCTCTGGCCGCCCCTGACTCCTCTCAACTGCTCCATTGCGGGAGGGATCAATTTCTCACCCACGTTCAGGACACCAGCGTGCCAAAGCCCGCTAGTTGGGAAGTGCTGTCTGGATTGTACACTTCATTTTACGAATGAGGAAGCTGCTATGCAGATCAAGGAGTTGATTTTTCCAAGATTAATAGCAAATTGTGGCACAGTTAGTACTGAAAGAGAACGGAAATTTTTTTTTTTTTTGTGAGGAAGATCAGCCCTGAGCTAACATGCATGCTAATCCTCCTCTTTTTGCTGGGGAAGACTGGCTCTGAGCTAACATCCATTGCCAATCCTCCTCCTTTTATTTTTCCCCAAAGCCCCAGTAGATAGTTGTATGTCATAGTTGCACATCCTTCTAGTTGCTGTATGTGGGACGC